GGCTAGGATCTGGAACCAACTTCCAAGGCAAGTGGTGCTGGCTCCTACCCTGGGGGTCTTTAAGAAGAGGCTTGATGCCTACCTGGCTGGAATCATTTGAGCCCAGTTTTTCTCCTGCCCAGGCAGGGGGTCGGACTTGAAGATCTACAAGGTCCCTTCTGACCCTGCTTCTATGATTACTTAGTTATTAATACAACATGACCTAAGACTAGGTAGATCTAAAGAAAGACTTGTATACCTTGCCACTTCAGAATCTACAGTCCTGAAGCAGATACTTGATCTAGAGAAACCAGCATGCTAAGCAGGAAGCAACTTAACTGAGCCAGTAAAAACCTAGAGAGAAGTGAGTTAAGACTCGCTCCTGAAAATGCCTAGTTTTGGGCAAAAGCAAAGTGCCTTTTTCCACTTGGCAACGGCAGCTGTGATCTCTTTTTAACCATGTAAATCATCCTGTTCCTCACAAAGGTGGTTGGAGATTGATCATATAAAATGGAAAATGAGAACGGTTAGGGGTTAGAGTATCAGGTGGGAGAGAACGTGAACCTGTAGCCTCCTCATTCCTGAAGTGCATTAACTAGGCTATAGGGCAGGGGTTGGCAACATTTTTGGGCAGAGTGCCCAAAACACCCACAACCTCAACTTAGAAGATGTTGGCGCAGATGGTTGGGGAGCTACAAGAGGCCCAATCCTTGTTGTGGTAGTGCAGCCCTGGACCCTGCCCTGCCATCCACACCAAGGCATGTGCGCCAAGCAAAATGCCTTTGCGTGCTATGCTCTGGCACCCATGCTGTGGGTTGCCTATCCATGCTATAGGTCAGTGGTTCTCAACCTTTGGTACCTTGTGTACCTCCTGCTGGTCAATGTGGCAAAAGTTAAACCGTAAGTCCCACCGTGGCAGTTCTGGTTTTGCCGCTGCGAGCCAAGTCTCACTTTTTCCACCGCCGCCCAGTGCAAAGCAGCCTGCGCAGGGCCTCCCTCCCTATTCCCTGGCACACTGATGCTGGGGAGTGAAAACCCTGGCTCACCAAACACTGCAGGAGGGACGGTGGCTGGAACATTTAGCCCAAGCAGGCAAAGACCAAAATGCAGCACCCACATACCCCTGCCTGTGTCTTGTGTAACCCTGGGGGTACACATACCATGGGTTGAGAAACACTGCTATCAGTTATATTCAAGGACGGAGTACTCGCCGTACTATAATTGTATAGAGTGGACTAAAGAAGGACTAGCATTGTGGTTGGGGCACTTGCCTCAGGACCTAGATCTGCATTCCAGTTCCTGCTTCAGATATTTTAAGTGTTTTGTAGTAATTATTCAGATCTGTACATCCAGGTGAGTACCTATAATCATGGAGCTATAGAATTTTGTTTTTTTCTGTCCTACTGATTTGTCTATGAAGTGTGAAACTGCACATACTGCCCTAGTGCTTAACAGGAAAACATCCAAAATGCCATTTCCAGTGGTGCTCCACCTCAGGGCTGGTCTGTAGGCCGGTCTGGCCCTGGCCCAACTCTGCAAGCAGATCCTGTGTGTTATCCAGCCTGCAGGGCTCCCCACAAGTCTGGAAACTTAGCAGCAGGGGAGTGACAATTGCTATTACTGCTCCCCTGCCACCAAATTCTCAGACCCCTGTGGGCCAGAATGCACGGCTCCACAGGCCAGAACTGGCTCACAGATGAGGGATTGAGCACCCCTACTGTAACAGTTTGAGTTTCAGAAAAGTGCTGCTTTTACCCTTCTCTCTTTTGCATGGTGAATGCAAAAGGCGAAAGAACATGCTCTAAGTACATCTTTGCAGGGCACGGCTCTCTCTAGTAAGTGCTTTTCCTGATTCCTTTTGGTAGTAGTGAAATAGCACATAATGGCTGAAGGAATGAGAACTTCCATCCAGTACTGAGAAATATACTTTTTTATTAAGTAGTTTTTATGATTTAGGCACTGTCAAAATTCAGACTTTACTAACATGGAACAAAGTCTGGAACCAGGGTTAATTATACAACTGGATTTAGCATTTACCGTTATTTTGAGATCAGTTAACATTTAAGAGACTATGATTATGAAGCAGGTGGTTTTCCCATCCCAACCGGAATCTGTGTCTTTCTGATCCCAGTTCTCTTCAAGAACCTTAGGTTTAACTAGTAGACTATGGCAGGTAGGACAGGCAGGATCCATCTTCTGACTCCTCAAAACTTCAGAACCGTTCGAATGCTTTCAGAGAGAAAAAAGGGTGGGGGAGGGGAGAAAGGAATCCATAACAAGAATAAGATCAGTTACCCTACTATCCCTGAAACACTAACCTTAGGCTGGCTTTCTTGTCCTATTTTTTTAAAGCAAATGTTTCTTAAATCCTTCTAAGAAATAGGCTAGTTATATTGGTTCCTGTTATTGGATCTCTGCATTATGCTTTTTAAAGAACTTCTGCCGAGTAGATAATTAGATACTGTATTTGCTCAATTCCAAAATGAGATTTTCTTTCCCCATTCATCCTGGGGAAAACAAAGCCTTAACTTAGAACTGAGTATCAGACCACTGCTGTTGGGAGCTGTGAGGAGTGGCTGTGCACAGAGCCCGGTGGGGCAGGGACAGAATCAACAGCATGCAGATGCCTGCTCCCTGCTTAGCTCCTATCCCCTTGTCTCCTTCACTGGCAGGAAAAGAGGCATCTGTATATTGGTGCAGTCTCCCGCCCACCAGGCTTTCTATATAGTGGCTCTACACAGCCCTCAACTGTGGCAGACGCAGGGGAGCTTGAAAGCTATTCCTGTTCTTCACTGCAGGATGCACCTGTGCCAGGAGCCCAGCTCTGAAGTGCATGGTTTTCTCCTTCCCTGCCCTTCTCTTTTCCCCTTCTCCTGTCCCCCCTGCTGACCAGAAGCAGGCTGAGCACGGGAGAGAGAAGTAAGGCAGGGAAGAAGGAACCTGCCCTTGCACAGCCAGGCTCCCAGCTGCATGGGGCAGCTCTGGGGCTCCGCCTGTGTTGAAGGGGCATCACCAGGGCAGCAAGGGGTGAGGGGCAGCATGCCTGCTCCTTGGCCTCTGCTTTCCCTACCCCTGCTCCCCCCCCTCCATCTACTCCATTGCTTCTGCTTGCCCTGCTGCTGCAGTAAGGAGTGGGGGACAGGACAGAACAAGTTTAAGATGACTTCACTGCCCCCCACCCCCCAACAGATTCTAGATGTGGAAAATGATACATGTGTCACAAATTTCCATATCTGGAATCTAAGTGCTGGGGGGGTTGTCTTAAATTCACAGCTGTCTTACATTTGGGTAAATATGGTATGTTCTTAAAAGGAAACCTATAAAATCTAAATCCCCATTAATGTTATGTATGTTACCTTTTCCCTGTGTGCATCAGTTCAAAAGCCTCATTAATTTTGTCAAAAGGCAGATTGTGAGTTATGAATTCATCGACTTTGATCTTTTTTGCCATATATTCAGCTACCAGATTTGGTACGCTCTCCACACTCTTCCAACCTGGGGAGAAAAAAATTGTCATACATGGACATGGAAAAGCATATTATCCTTACATTAGCTTGTCAGCTTTCTTATTATATATTAAGGAACTTCTGAATCAATCCCATCCAGCTATAGTTTAGCACTGCATTAGAAAAAGCTTGAGTACAAAATAATAAAAATAATACAAGGTCCCTGAGGGCCAAAGAGATTCATGCATTGCTTTGTCTCTGGAGAGAGCAATGTGTAGCTGAGATCCGAAACTGAGCATTAGGCTCTCCTAGTCCTTGTTTGTATATTTGTACTCTAGGCCAGTACTCTAGGATGTTTTGCAGAGCTTTGGAGAAAGCTGATGTAACATCAAGTAAAGACTTCAGTAGGCTCTAATTCCTGAGTTCATCACCCTCTTGGTAGACAGCACGGGTTGTGGGAAAGTCACTCAATACTTTTAATCCAATAGGCAAGAAGTCAATTACAGATTTGTTTTCTGTTGTGTTAGCAACTTCTAGCACACTACAACAGGGCCTTTGATACCATACCATGTTCATCCTCACAGTGCAGCCCTGCAATTCTACTTGCTCAGTGAATGAACAGGACAGAAGTACACAAACATGTTTACCTTAGTCCTGGTTTCCCAGGTGAGCAGGTTGTTTTGTTATAGTTCAAAACTGCAACTCATAATTAGGCAATTCTGTTATAATACAAAATGGCATTATAATGAACTGTACAGGAGAACTACTGCCATCAAGACAACTCTTCATTTTGAATTCATGATGTGCACTAGGAGTGTTTGCTTTGAAACCAGTATAATGGTCACTAAAAAAGCGTTTAGAAAAGCTTCTTGCACTGTCTTGCTTTGTATTTGTATTTTTTGCTCTTTTAATCCAGAAGATATTATCTATACAAGTATGTCAAATCCTTACCTCCAAAGGCAGTCCCTTTCCAAGTTCGCCCAGTCACTAGCTGGAATGGTCGGGTAGAGATCTCTTGACCTGCAGCAGCTACTCCAACTATCACGCTGACTCCCCAGCCTTTATGACATGCTTCCAAGGCAGCCCTCTGCACAGAGATACAACAAAACCCAAATACCAGTAAGAAAGGTCGATTGCTGAGATTGATGCTCTCCACTATTCTAGAGTGAAAACAGAAAAAAAAAGATGGAATGCCACATTTTTTACAAAATCAGAATCCTCATATGATTTCATCAAAAATCTTCCATGACAAACTCTGTTAAATTATAATATTCCTGAGTTCCTATAGATGTGTGGGGAGCCTGCTCTAACATACTGGAAATCCAGTGTGTCAGAGCAGACTCGATTAATCAAGTCTGCTGGAGCACAGAAACTGACTTAGTCCAGCAGCCTTCCACGTCATGTGCATCAGCATCCCCTTGCATCCCTGTGCTGAAAATATGGTGGCAGGGCACTTTGAAATAAAACATGTGCAATGAGCTTTGCTTCAAAGCACCCTGCTGCCATTTTTTCAGCATGGGGACGCTGATAGACATGTGATGTGTGGGTGCTTTTAATCAGTGTTGCTTGCTAATTAACGTACCCAGTACCTTGGGCAAATGGTGCCTCCAGAGTCCAGGGGGTCCCCCAGCAGCCAATTGCTGACTGGGGGGGAAGAGGGGTTCCCCAGTGGCCAATCACAGTGCTGGCAGCAAAACAAAGTGCTGGCACTTCACTTGGCACCCCTACTCCCCAGCCAGCGAGGGCCAATCTCAGGGAGGGCATGTGCCCCCCCACGTGTTGTCTATGCCCAGCACAGTGTCCCAGAGCACATGTAAAAGTGCCCCATGTGTCCAAATAAGCCACAGTATTTTCATTTTATGGTTAGGATTTATACTAAATACCTTCAGCCTAAGAATTATCCTACTGTTTCTCAGTTGCAAATGAGGACAGAATGTTTCCATGTAAAGAGAAAGGGACTTATTTCTCATTAAAGTAATGAATTGCCCTAAGTTGCAATGAACCGTCCCCTCCCCACTAAGTAATGTATTGCACACACTTACCATGACACCAACATTACCAATGCATTCAAAAGAATAGTCCACACCACCATCCGTCATCTCAACTAGCACCTCCTGAATGGGCTTACTGAAGTCCTTAGGATTGATACACTCAGTGGCTCCAAACTCTTTGGCCTTTGCAAATTTATCTTTGTTGAGATCAACACCAATGATCCGGGAGGCTCCTGCCACTTTACAGCCCATAATCACGGCCAGGCCAACTCCTCCTAAACCAAATACAGCACAGGTAGAACCAGGTTCCACCTGCCAGATGAGAGAGAACAGTTGAAGGACATATAGCAGTAGACTAAACAAACGTACATCCTTTCACTTGCATAGGAATATAAACATTAGGCAATTTTTAATTAAAAACAAGTACAAACCCCATGTTGCAAATAACTATAGATAAAAAAAGTCAAAGGCAAAGATGTAGTTCTCTTTGTCAAAGATTTCTTTTTGAAATGCTATGAAAAAGCTATGGTTCCCTTTCTGTCCCAAAAGGTGGAAAATAGTTTGGGGCTCTCACCAGACCTGTGGAGTTTCCCCAACAAAAGAAGGATAACTTGACAGACAAGGAAATAGCACGTAGGCAAGCAGAAACAGGGACTTTTTGATGTGGGTCACAAAGTAGCTTTGATAGACCAAGAACACATACTATCCCAGAGGCGGGCAATTATTTTGGGCAGAGGGTCGCCTACTGAGTTTTACCAAGCCATTGAGGGCCGCATGACAGGCAGCCCAGGGCAGATTAATATTAATTTTCTAACTTTTTTAGGGGCCCCGCAGGCCGGATAGAATGGCCTGGCGGGCCACATCTTACCCACCCCTGTACTATCCTATCCTTACCTTAAAGCAGTGGTTCCCAGCCTTTTTAAACTCAAGGCACCCCTTTGAAAAAATACTAGCTTTTAGCACTCACTCATTTCTTGACTACAAAAAAACCCAACCAATAGAGCAATTCCTTTGCTGCAAAGAACTCAGAAAGATGTAACAGGGCAGAATTTTTTTGACACTGTGGATTCCTATTTTAAATCTCTGTTCATATTGTGAATCACAGGACTGTGTTTGCACAACTAACAGTGCTAATATTGCACTTCACCCTTAAAAGGATCTCAGGGCATCCTGGTTGAGAATCACTGCCTTAAGGTTTCCCCCCTGCCCTGCAAACACCTGTCATAATACCCATTCACAAACAAGTTTCTTAACAGCATGGAGTGGCTGCTATCCATATCCACTTCTCCATGGCAGGAAGCCCCTTTTCCAACCCCATACTTGCACACATGTATTCACCACTGATCCTCTATTCTCTGTCTCATCTTAATCTTCCACCTGAGGAGTTGAGATGAGAAATTCTGTGACTGTGATCAGAAGGGAAGTATGCCAGTGGGAGTCTGTCTTCCAGGCCCCTCAAGGCAGATCTAGCTACCAAATTCCTTCTTCTGTCCTGGCCTTCATTGAAAAGAGCATCAGTTTTCCCGTCACCAATACCACAGACCAGTAGAAGAAAGAGACAGACCGCAGTTCTTTCTTCCCTGGAGGAAGGTATCAAGTCTTCTTTTCTCCATAAAGGCCAAGCAGGCCTTTGAACTGTGTGAAGGGGAGATGGAAAAAGGACTGAACCCAGCAGATGAACTCCCACAACGGCTAAGCGCAACTAATTAGAACTTGTATCTGTTTATACCTCACTTTGGTCAAGATAGGTAAAAGCACAGGTCAGGTCTCTTTCTACTACATCCAGCACCCAGCTAACCTTTGGCAATGGAGATGCAGGAAAACTTGTGGTGGAAACACATCCTATCACCTAGTGCAGTGGTTCCCAATCTGTGGTACGTGTATCACCAGTGGTACGCAAACAACCTGTCAGTGGTACGTGCCCCCCCAGTCCTTCTGCCCACAAGGGTGGGAGCAAGGTGACCCATGTATACACCCCTCCCAAACATACCCTTTTGCACCTCACTCTCATCCTCATAGGTGGAAGGTCCCAGCCCAGCCAGCACACAGCTTCTGATGCTGCAGCCCCTGGGGACCTGCTCCACTTCCCCAGTCTCCTGCTGGCTCCAGGCAGCATGTTGGGAAGTGGCAGGAGCAGGGGCAGGGCTGCAGGTGACTGGGAGCATGGAGCTGGCGGAAATGTGGAGGCCGTACCCAGGGGGCAGCAGCAGTGTGGAGCTTGGCTGGGCAGCGTGTGAGAGGGAGAGTGGGGAGTGTGAAGACCTCCCCGCCTACATCCCTCCCCCCGCCCCATGGTGCACAGCTCAGGCAGGCAATGGTAGTGGTAGCAGCAGGTGGGAGCACTTGGTGTTCATGCCCAGTGCAGGCACCTGGCAGGTCATGGCTCGGGCCAGTGCTGCACATCGCACTGAAGTGCACAGCCTCTGTCAGGCTGTCTGTATCACCAGTGCTCCCCATATGTGCATGCACATGCAGCTCTCACACTTGCCAGGCACAGGAGGGAAGCCCCACGTGCTGGACCTGGCTGCGTTACCGGCTGACCGGCCACAGCTACACAACACAGGAGGGAAGCCCCAGATGCCTTCCCCTGGGGGGTAGGGAAGGCAGCCAGCTCCAGCATGCAGGGCTTCCCTCCCATGCCCAGCGAGTGCAGGGTGCACTGGTGATACAGATGGTCCAGCAGATGATACACCTCTTGCTGCGATGTGCAGCGCTGGCCAGAGCTGCACTCCACAGGGTGCCTGCTGCTGCACCATGTGGGGAGTACCAGGGGTCCCCCCAACAAACCCCCCACATACATGCAATCTCCCAACATACCCTATGCTTCCCACCACACACATTCCCTCACAACCCTCCCCAACACAGGCACCACCCCCCACAACACACGCATGCGCACCTCCCCCCCCACCTTAAGTACTGGTGGTAGTTTAGGTTGTATTATTTTAAAATCAGTGGTGCACAATCTGTCAGTTTGGAAACTGCTGACCTAGCGGTTATGTTTCTTGTCTTGCTTTCTCCAACCCCAATCCTAACAAATTCTTACGCTAGTGGTTTGCCTCCAGTTTAATATCATTAAGCCACATCATTACTGGGAAGAGCCAAAGATAACCAGAGCCTGTACCTTGGCAGTGTTAATGGCAGCTCCATAGCCTGTTGAAATGCCACAGCCTAACAGGCAAACTTTATCCAGAGGAGCTGCAGCATCTACTTTAGTAACTGAGATATCAGCCACAACAGTATACTGGGAGAAGGTGCTAGTTCCCATGAAATGATAGATTGGTTTTCCTTTGCAGGTGAATCTGCTGGTCCCATCAGGCATCAGTCCTTTTCCTTGGGTAACTCTAAAATGAAACATCACAACAAGATCTAGTACATGGGTAGGCAACGTTTTTTGGCTGGAGTGCAGAAAAAACCACAATGTCTACCTTGGAAGGTGCCAGAGTGCTGACATGCCGGAGCCCGGAGCAGCTGTTTGCAGCCTCCCAGCTGCAGCAAGCCCACAGAGCCCGGTCTGCTTGCAGCAGGGCTTGCAGCCTCCCACTTGCTGGCTGGGAGTAGCCTGGTCTCCGTGGCTGGCAAAAGCTGATGAAAGCCCAGGCTGGCAGTGGTGTGCCAAGCGAAATGGCCTTGCGTGCCATGCTCAGCATGTGTTCCAGGGGTTGCTGACCCATGATCTATTATAAAGTTACTGAAATTTATAGCAGAGTCTAAACCAGAGGTGGGCCGCATCTGGCAAGCCAGGCAATTCTAGCCAGCCTATGGGGCCCCTCCACAAGCCCTCTGCATGCCAGCATGTCCCTGCAGGAGTTGCAGCTCTGGTTGCTAAGCCCTGCCTCTTTAAGGGCCCAAGGGCATGGAGCCAGGTAGTACTGCTTGATTATCAGATGCAGCACAGATGAAGGTTGGGGAACGGAACTCAGGCCCAGCAGCAGAGTGAAGTTCAAGCCATCTGAGTCAATAAACCATTTTGTAAAGGAGTAAGAACAGAGATTTGGGTGTGACGTTGGTCCTTGCTGGGCTGGAACCATGGACCAATAGTTCACATACCTGCATACACACCATGCAGTAAATTTCAATTAGGTCAGAAAAGAAGTCAAGTTGGCTGAATTCCAAAAGGAGGGAAAAGTAATTATTCACAACAGAATCCAACACATGCCCTCTTACAACTGCAGGATTTTGCTGTGTGTTAAATCATGTTGCACTTGATGTCTGAACCATCTGATACAACTCCAGGCCACTTGGCTTTTGTACAGAAGTGAGTGTACACCGATGAATTACAAAACAAATGTTTTGTGTGTCATAAGAAAAAGGAGTTTACCAACCTTATCTTCTGGCAGAGATTGGTTTTAGGGTTTAAACAGAACTTGCATTCTCCACATTGTGGGACATAGAGAGGGATGACTGTGTCACCTAGGCAAAAGAATAGATATTTTATAGGCTAGCTAGTTAAAGGAAGGCCAGTAAGTTAGAAAAAAAAATCACATGGTTAAAATCTTATAGTATTTGATCATTCATGGATTAAAGATAATCAAAACTCCCTTCTCATCAATGCAGAGGCAGAAAAGGATCTTGAAGTCATTGATGCCAAAATGAACACGGGCTGATGGTGTGGGTATGCAGTCAGGAAGGCCAACTGTACCTTGTCATGCATCCACATATGCATCTCAAGCAGGTCCAAGGAGGTGATGCTCCCCCTCTATGCAGCACTGGTCAGGCCGCAGCTGGAGTACTGCATCCAGTTCTGGGTGCCGCACTTCAAGAGGGATGTGGACAGCATGGAGAGGGTCCAGAGGAGGGCCACTCGCATGATCAGGGGGCAGCAGGGCAAGCCCTACGAGGAGAGGCTAAGGGACCTGAACCTGTTCAGCCTCCACAAGAGAAGGCTGAGGGGGGATCTAGTGGCCTGTTACAAACTAGTCAGAGGGGACCAGCAGGCATTGGGGGAGTCCCTGTTCCCCCAAGCACTACCAGGAGTGACTAGAAATAACGGTCACAAGCTGGCAGAGGGTAGATTCAGACTAGACATCAGGAGGCGCTACTTCACTGTCAGGG